TTGGTTGTACATTTTTATTAGTCTTTTTCATTCCATTTGATTTAATAGCATTTGTATTTTATTATAGTTTTTATTTTTCTTACGCTTTCACTAAGTTTCCGTGTTTCTTTCTGAACTGCATTTATGTTGTTTGACTTGATACCTATTCTTGGCGGCAGCTATATTGGGTTGTTCCTCCCTTTGATTGTGTTGCGTGCATTGACTGGAATTGTGCATTTTTGATTGTGAGTTGAAGCACTCTTCCAGAATTGAAAACACTTGGTGTTATAAAGCAACCAAACATTATCTTTTGAACGAATCTGTGTGTGATCTATCCAGACAGGATAGAATAACATTTATTTGTTGCGATTGGTAATTTTCTAGCATCCTTTTTTCAACTTTCTTATTTAATGTAATTTAGATTTGATTAATTGAACTATTGTTGGTTGGATAGCTGGGTGGTTATATTTGTTTAGGTAACGATGTACATTTAAATTTATGATGAATTATAGAACCGTCATTTCACCCGATTACTTTGTTTTGGTTTCAAACGGGCAAGGGCGCGTATCTAACCCACCAAGACAGCTATTCTTCAGTCCAAACCTTAGTTTGGATCTTACAACAGCACTTACGACACTAACGCAATCTTCGCCATCAGTACCAATGTTGCCGGTACAGCCCTCATCAAAATTCTTATTGGCCAACACCAGGAGGCTAATGGCTTCCTGAGTGAGTGATGTTTTGCTCGAGCAACAAAAACTACAAAGCCAATGAGAGTTAGGCTTCGAGCACCTTTTATACGCAGCGAGGCTCAATCGGGTGCACATCTTGTGGGACCACTTATTACACCCGTCACATTGCATCCCTTCCTCCACGGGGAATAAGCAACATGGTTGTTCACATTTATGAGCAGATTTGGTCATCTTGAAAATCAACTACAATGGTGAAACAAACAGGATATGTAAAAGAATTCTAAAACCTTGACAAAATAAATCAAGTAAACGTCGACCAAGTATGCTTCGATGCAGTAAATACACAAAAGCAAAGTTAAAACACTCAACACAATATCACTTTAACTGGAGAAGATTCAATTAAAGTGTGAACAATAGTGTTGATGCGTAATTTACGATCAAAACAGTTAATTAACTCAAGGAGAAACAATACCACTTTTTTTGGATAGCGCGGGTCCTGGTAAAGTAGAATTCAGAGTCTTTAAGAACATATCAATTTTCTCAAAGAAATACTCCTACGAAGTCACTTGAACCACTTTATCTGGCAGTGGATTCCAGAATATGGCTACTCGTTAGCAGTAGAATGTGTGCTTACAGTCCACTATGCCACGTTATGGCGACAATTTCTAGGTGTCACTCTTAAGGTTTGAGTTGAGGTTGTGATCAAGTAGGAGTTTACCGGGACGCCCGATGGTGTTTGAGATTCTATAATTCATAAGAAGTTCAGTTCTAAAACGCCTATACTCTAATGAGTAAACGTTCGGTGGTTGGACGATCTGTTCATAAGGTTTACATTTGAGCCCCCACATGATTTCATGGCTAGATGTTAGAGTACCAATACTCTTAAATCTTTTTCAACTTTAGATACCTACATAGGAACTTTGCTTAAGTTGTAAAGGTAGTTGACAAGATGTCTTAGATGGACTTTTTTACACTTTGAAGAGTTGAAAGTAAGTCCTTTGTAATTCACCCATGTTTAAAGTCACGTCAGGTCCTTTTGAAATGTTAGTTTACCATATTGATTATATAATACCCTCAAAAACTTAGATTTCTAAGGAAAGTCATCCATGTAGATTGAGAAGAGGTCCTAGCACTGAACTCAGGTATTCCACTAGGACATTCTTTAGGCTGAGAAAAACTGAAGTTTAATCTGACCATAAAGTGTCGATTATTTAGACATGAAGTAAGCCAGTTTATTAATGGTGACTTGGTGAGACATATTTTGTTAACCCTATCAAAAGCTTTAGAGAAATCAATGTACATTGCCCAAACCTATCCTTGCAATTAAGGATAATTGTCCGTCTGTTTACCTCAGTCACCAGGTTGACCATGTAGGACTAGCCCGTACTGAGTCTATGTTGTCGGGGTGTAAAGGATTTTAAAAGTAAAAGTAGCCACGCAGGCTGTCCTATATCAGGGACCTATGACTGCGAACATTAAGAGGAGAGCTATCAACCGGTAGCTTAGAGAGGCATTGATTCGGCCTCGTTCGAACAATGGTGTGATGTTCTTCAGTTTTCAATCGACTAAGACCATGCTTCGACATGGTGAATGTGAGGACACAATATTAGGCGGCGTTTCCAAGGTCAAAGCCGCTTCACTCAGCACAAAAGAGAAAATCATGTCCAGGCCAGGAAAAGTGTCCTTGTTCAGATTCCTCACTCAGCAGTTTTGTAAAAGGTTGACGCAAAAGACTTATTGCTTGGCTTTAGTTAATGCGTTACGTACGGTGATATTAAGAAGCATCTATTTAATACCTAGATCAATATGATTTATGTACAAGGGTCACGTTTTTTCGTAGTATATCGTTTCACGATGTATAAGCACATATGATTTCGAGTATGACCCTGCGGAAGTGTTACAATCTATGTGAAATTAGTTACAAAAGGTCATTAAGTATGCTAAACAGCAGAAAATTCGATACAACTATGAATCTAGTCCGTTTTATTATCGCTTTTGCGTCGAGAAAATTATCGACATTGAGATTTAGCAGGGAATGTTTACGGTAATAAACAAACTTAGGCTCCAGTAAAGATAACAATCAGATTAAGTTGAGTGGACCAGTTCCAAAATAATGATCAGGATTTTACGAAAAACATTAGCATGGTAATATACTGAAATATAGACCATACACAAAGAAAAATACTGAACGTTAATCAAATTATCTGAAGAAATGTTGGAATTGTTTTTTGGTCTCGTACTCCACAGTTATAAGTAGTCAATGATTCTAAGTATGTTTGATGTAATCCAAAGTATTCAGAGTAATCACGTAGTGAGAAAATCAATACGATCAGTAAAAATAGCAAGTACATCAGAGTTCTGTTATCGTAACAGCTGATTATTGCGAACGCGTAGTATGTGTGTGCAGCAGTGCTTTGTTAGAGGCAGTCGATGCGTCATGCCACGAAAGTACAAGTTCTTTTACATAACAATTTTGCGGTAAGTAGTGGTAAGCGTACAAATAATGCAGAATGAAGAACGAACGCCTAAAAACAAAAACTAATTACCAAATCAGTTTGTGTCAACTACCTCCACAAAGTCCTACTTGCTCTTTTAGTTCACCAACGTAGACGATTAAATTTCGATGACTGAAGATCTGCTAGAGTGAATGAGAATAGTGTGACCTTGGTGCTTACGTCGGAGTCATACACTGTACCCTATACCTAACGTGGATCACACTTTTGTCGTATCCGGGTATTGAAGGTACTTTGATGACCGTGTGGTGAAAACATAACGGTGTTACAGAAATGAATAAGAACAGGGTGCGACTACTGAAAATGTAAGACAGTCCGTAGCGTGCGATTGATCGATAAGTGTTGGCTGTCGTTGACCTCGCCAATGATCGTCAATGACATCGCCAACTGTGAAAAATTCAGTAATTTGACTGTCATGTGAGTTGGCAAGGAACCAATGACGTTTCACTGGCCCTATGTTTCTAGTCCTAACAATGTTAACCATAAGTTCTAGCCTTAACACTCATAACTCCTGGCTGCCGATTCTTGACGGGCTGATAATCCTTAATTTTAACTTTCATTTATTAACTTATCACACTGGAACTTTTAATGTATCGTAATTTTATTGCTGTGCATCATAAACTGCTTCGTAACCATGTTATGCCTTCTGATTAGCCTCATAATATCGTCGCTATTATGTATTTAACTTAACTTCAATACACTAGTAGCGAAAACTTCTGCAGAATTCGGCCCACGCTATCCAGTTTTTCACCGTGTTATAGCATTCTGTGACTATACTTGATCACCATTTCAATATCCTTGTAGCAGTAAATGAATCTTCGAAATCAATAATTCTGTAAGTCATAGACATTTGATGCTGACCGCAATAGTTTTACTGGAATCACATATTTGAACGTGCTCGGTCACGCATCTGTATCAGATCATTAGTGGGCACACCGTGCTTTACATCTCTTTAAACCCATATCCAGCTTAGGCTAGTCATTTTTCGATATATCGATAGTCTATCATGTATGCCTTCGAACCTCTTTGCTTCTGAGTTCTGATTTCACTCGGTCTGCATGTTTCGATTATAAATGTTATTGGTGATTAAGGTGTTGTCAAGCTCCGAATACTTGTGGCATTTTTGTCTTCGTTTTACACATTACTAGTCTAGTAATCAAGAAAATTCTCTGGTGAGAAGCCGTGACTAATGGAGCTAATACGTGTTGCGTAGACACAGGTGTCTAACTCAGTACAATGGAAGATGGTCGCGCGATTTCGTGGATTGGTTGAGGTTAAACAACAAAACCGTCAGATCCAGGCTGAGTGGTCTAGCGGTTAAGCGTTCACGCACGAGAACGAAGGCCCTGCGTTCGAATCCTGCGAGTGAGATCGTGGATGCGAACTTCTGAGAAGTCCCATGATAAGACGAAAAGGCCGTCCAGTACTTCCAGGTTTTCAATGGTTCATGATTTCAATCAAAAATATAATGATCTCCACAGCCCCTAAACTGATAGTATATTATTTATTTATATTTGGAACACTAACTATCCAACATTCCAATGATCACTTTATTTTTTACTTTGCAATTAAGCAACATCCGGCCTGATAATATCGTGAAACGAAACTATTCCAAGATATTCACTCAATCTGTAAGATATACAAGATATCTACAAATAACTTCCAAATTGACTAAAATTAGTGTAGTCAAGTGCTCAGGCTACTACGTATTATTTATCATCAAACACTAGGATCTGTACCAAAGCAATAAGAAGCGAGTACAAAGAAGTCAATCGGTTTACATAAGCTTGTGACTACAGCATTGTATATTGGATCTGTTCAGCCCCACAATTTAAATGCCTTATGAGTGACCTTGGGGCTAGTGACCCATCGGATAGGTCCTGGAACCGTTCCGTTAAGGATGGAAGCAGTAGCGGATTGTCAGACTGTGTGGTTTCATCAAAGAGCAAGACAATTACCGTTTGCATTTTTATTCTCATAAATGTTTTGAATTACATGGACAGATTTACAATCGCTGGTAATACTGGCTTAAACTCAATATTACTTTTAATCAGGGATTCCCGAGAATGTGAAAAGCTACTACAAAATAAACGACTCAAAACTAGGCCAGCTGCAGACCATGTTTTTTTTATTCTACACTATTCTTAGTCCTATTGCTGGTTATCTTGGTGATCGTTGGAAAAGAAAACGAATCATGCAGATTGGTCTGTCGATTTGGATAATCGTTACATTGGCGAGTTCTTTTGTTCCTGCTCATGTACGATGACAAAGTTATAATGCTTTTAGCTATTCAGCTTATTTTTAGCCACTCGCTGTTTTGTTGGCATCGGTGAAGCCAGCTATTCCACATTGGCCCCAACAATCCTATCTGATTTGTTTATGGGGAATGCAAGAACCAAAGTTTTAGGTCTCTTCTACTTTGCAGCACCTGTTGGAAGGTAATATTAGTTGTCTTTGTGTGCTTTATAGCTTAGTTTCGTCTGCTTTAAAACTTTCTAAAGGGATATTTTAAAGTCATATCTATTTAAAGTTTAATAACGGTAATTATTGCTTAGTAACACTACTCAACGTATGATTTTTCTCGTATTATATGAGTAATTATACACGTCCTATTAATGTATAAACTTGGCACAACAAGTTTTCGATTTAACAATAATCTCTTTTTCCTCATTTTATCTTGAATTCCTTAATATTTAAATGTTACTGAGTTCACTACATTCGCGTAAACTCAGTAGTCGTGTGGTCGTTCTCAATATTCAACCCTTTTCGTTTGGCTATGTTTTTTTAGCGGACTAGGTTTCATAGTTGGTTCAGAAATAACTCGGCTGACAGGATCTTGGCAATGGTCTTTACGAATTACACCGATTTTGGGCCTACTTTGTATAATTCTACTGAGTGTTTTGCATTCAGATCCACCTCGTGGTGAAGCAGAAGGTGGTTCACACATGCGAACCACTTCGTGGTGGCTAGATATAAAGTCCCTACTATCTAATCAAGCATTTATGTTCATTAGCTGTGGATATACATGTGTCTGTTTTGTTTTGGGTTCACTTTCTTGGTTCGCGATTGATCTAATCCAGTCAGCATTAAATGCAATAAACGATGATCCTTCTGCCTGGAGGAATTACAAGTAAGTCTTATTTTGTTCTTAATGGTTAATTTGATTTTTACCAATTATTTCGATTATGATCACAGGAATAAATCCATGTAGTTAAACACTTTAATAACTAAGAGTTGGCATATCGTTATTTTGCAACCGAAACTTACTTAACTTTGGTGATTTTTGCGCTAGAATAATATGTTAGTTTGTAATATAATTACTAAATCCGCGATAAGCAATTAGAACGTCGGTCTCGATTATGTTTGGCGAACTCTAATGTGGAGAATCGTTGAAAGTTTCTCATTTTTATTTGGAGCAGTTTATAATAAATTTTCATGCTTAATAATTACAAACTTCTTATGCGCTTTCTAATTACTTTTGTTTATATTGCAATCTAAGGTTAGATAAAGTATCTTACTCGTGTTGGTATTTTAAACACTGAGTTCTCCTAGGTGATATCCGTTTTTCTAGAAAGCTGATACCAAGAAAGTTTTGCAGTCATTGATATTGCTTGGAGCCAAACATTTCTGTACTTCAATATGTATCCCACCTGCTATCAGTATATCTGCTTCAATTAACCAAAGTATGATCATCAAATTAATTAATGTTTAAGGTGGGTTCACAGCTTTGAAATGATCATTGTCTTAATGGTCCCAAACCAATGGTGCACATGGGCTCCAGTATCCTAAAGGAACAAATGGCGTATGTACCATGGGATTGCATCTCCTTACGATGCTCCACTGCCTTGTGAGTCAGACCTTAAAGTCAAAGGCTCGGGGTGTGGCCCCCTAAGAAAACCACCTGCTTCGGTTTGGGCACCCGGGCAGTATCACAGCTCTCATACATACCAAATGAGGTCTGTGTGGCGCATATGTATTTGGTGCTTCCATGGACCAATATCTATGTGTTAAAATAAATAAATAAATAAAATACATCAAATTATGTTTATTTATTTATTTTAACACATAAGTATAGGTACAGGGAGGCACCAAAATACATATGCGCCACACAAAGCTCAATTGATTTGTGTGAGGGCTGTGATATTGCCCGGGTGCCCAAACCGAAGCAGGTGGTTGTCTTAGGGGGCCACACCCCGAGCCTTTGACCTGAACGTCTGACCCACAAGGCAGTGGAGCATCGTGAGGAGATGCAGTCCCATGGTAGCCGGTGACCAACGATTGCTTCATACGCCATTTGTTCCCGCAGGATACTGGAGCCCATGTGCACCATTGATTTGGGGTCCGGTTAAAGCGCCAGATATTCGCTTTTCGCCCTCTCATTTTTGTAAACAACACCCCCGCCACGAGAAGGCAGTGAGTAGAACTTCCCTGGCAGGGGCTATATACGCATGGCCATGTGAGAGCATTTCGAGAGGGAGAGCGGACTCTCCCCACTCTCGGCCGTACCAGGGCATTTGGGGGCAAGCAGCGTGTCATATGTTTATAGATCTAATGATAATTAGCACTTAGATTTTAGCCTTTCAAGTGGACATAGTGGTTAAAATCTGTATATACGTTCTCAAGAATTATATAATTATATGCTAATTAATATTCTCAGTATTTTATAGCCGTCATTTATCAATTATTTGTGCATTTCTTTTTTTAAAGTATTCCCATTGTTGTTGGAGCTTCAACATGTGTTGCGGGTATTTTTGGAGTGTTATCTGGTGCAAAACTAGGTCGTTATTTACGTCGATGGATTCCTACGGCAGATGCTTATGTTTGTTCTGCAAGTCTTTTTATATGTGCTCCATTCTTATTCTTTGCTCTGGTGTCTCCATCCTGGAATTTCTATGTATGCATTGTAAGTTATATTTTAACAAATACTGGGATTAAAATTGACCAAAATCTTGGTAACTTATCTTCTGAAGCATTAATCAAAAGTATATTAAGACAGATTACCAACCTAATCTTGTTTAGTGAATATTTATTATAATTTACGGTTACTTTATGCACGGTTAATTTAAAAATGTTACTTTCTGACATTATGTCAGTAAATTAAACCTACTAGATTTCTAGTAAATGATAAATACCGGTCTACTTTTTAATCATACCTTAACTCGACCGTCCATAAGTAAACTTGCTATTTTAATAAAGTTTATAGGTCAAATAAATCTTATCTCTGAAATCGTATTAATTGTTTAATTTGATAAATTATGAGTGCAGTACGCGAATACTTGATTTTTAGTGGTTTTTGTGAGATCATTTCGCATCTTAATGTGATCGGTCTAGTGGCAACCTTAATTCATACATAAGCCTGCCCCTCAGCTTAGTATACCAGAGTGTATGGTAATTATATTGACACTAAATCACACTGTGTGCAAGTATATATATATATATCAGTAGTGCATATCTGTTTGGTGCCTTCTTTTACCAATGTTTATGTGTTTAAATAAATAAATAGTATAAATCTCTGTTCTGGACGGTCCACATAAAGAGCTATCAGTGCTTTACGAAGATATTAGTTGCTGTTCTAACCAAGAATCTTGCATGTAATAATACACTTCACATTTTAGTTATTGAGTAGTGCAAGATTCTTCCGAACTTAGATATTAATTTATCATGAAGTTTATTAAGCAATAACATCATTATCTGAGGTCACCGCTAAAACCGGGGGAAATAAAACTTCGATGACCTCACTTCTGAAATTTCCATGGTTCTCATCCTCTTCCAAACATTTCATTGTTATTAATCTGTGGTTTGCTTTAGGACAATTACAACCTAATTTTTGAATATGGGATGTATAACTTATAGATAAATTTTTAGAAAATCTCTACTAGTTTCGATAACCAATTTCTGTACTTTTCATTTATCTGGAACTTCAGTTGTTAATAAGGACTATTTTGCAAATAAAAGATGCGACTGTCCAGTTAGTTCAATACGTTTTGAGGTTCACAATCAGCTATATGTACGATGTTTAACTAAGTGTTTCAGAGGAAACAGGAAAATTTCGTCGTTGTTGCTGTTAGCTTTTCATAGTTCTAGACTGTTCTGTTAGTGATTGTTTCAAACCATAGAAAAGTACGCCTAGATGAGATTTATAAGTTTTTAAAACCTAAATATACTAGACTGACATACTTCACATCTTTTAAACATAATGTATCTGAGTAAGAACCTTTGAGTGGTCATCTGAGAACGTTGTATTATTATTCTATATTTAATGACACTATACTTGCGAATGTTTTCATCAATAAATCCATGAACACTACTTTGAATTTGTTCAGCTGACACGATACCCTGAAATAATGAGTGTTCAAAGAACTAGCTTTTAAAAGATGTGAATAACATACAAATCAACAGTCTGATCAAGAAGAGCCAAATACAAGAAAATTGTTTTGTGTCATATTTTTAGGTGTTTTTTGTATTAAGTTTGTGTTTGATGTTAGACCATTTAATTCAAATCTCTTTTTCGCTTTGATTTTGCAGGTTCTTGTTTTCATCGTCGAATTTCTTCTATGCATCACATGGGCACTTGTGACTGATATGACTATGGTGAGTATTGATTAGTTGTTTATTATACATCCTATTAGTAGTTGGAAATGAAAACTAGATCATTTAAATGAGTGTCCTTCAAAAAAATATACGAATAGTTTTAATCTATTTATCTTCCTACTTTGAGTATATTTATATATATCCTTACAATGTTGATGTCTTACTTAATGCCATGTTTTGATCTATATTTATTGATACGTCTCTAGTTTATAACTTTGATTAACGTCCAAAATCACACTAGTGACGTTGCAAATTAATTTAAAAGTGATTTCAACGTTACACTTGATTGTATAGGCTTTTCAATTAAATATGTTTGATACTTATAAAATTCAGTTACCAATATTTACACAGATGTCTACTTTTAGTGATACATTTTAGATACCATATACACCTTCACTTAGTGAGAAGTCATAAAACCCTTAGAAGAGTGCATAGCTTATAAGCTGATTTCCAGAATTTTCACACATCTTGTGTAGTTCGTGTACTGTCATAGTAGTCCTTTTTAGGACTCTCTTAGTATTGGCCTCTTCATGGGCAAAAAACCTGTCATTTGTGATTTTAGATAACTAATATTGGTGGTGGGTCTACTAAAGTCGAACGGCAATGGTGTGACCTGACTTACATTGAAGTCATTCCCAGGCGGTGGAGCTTTCTTGGTGACTGTAAAGATCAAACAAATTTTTACCAAAGTGATTTAATTTACTCGATAAAACAAATTAAAGAATAGAGTATGGATACACTACCACTTGGCTCCTATGCATAGCGTCATGCTCAACATTGGCTAGTCATCCTTAACCTTGACGATATTTGGTAAATTGTTGAACACTCACTGACTAATCATTTAGCAAGGAAACAGTTTAATTTAATGGGTTACTTGACTAGGTCCCACTGATGCTACATATTCTTGTCTGCATCTTTGGAATGTTTTTATTTTTGTTATCATACTATTTTCCTCTTTTTTCACTCCTTGACAATTGTCTTGTGGTCGCGTTTAATTTATTAATTCATATTTTACCAAGCTTATTGAAATATTGGTAAGTAAATATATAGTCGAACTGGTTTCCTATATGAATTATGGCCTTTTGTTTCTCAGGTAAATAAGTCTTTAAGGTTTCATCAGTCCCATTAGGTTGACGGCTGATAAAATCTCTCTAGAAAAACACGACGTTTCCGTCAGGTTGTGTCACCTCTGGCACAGTCTAGATTCCTGCTTGCCTGTCGACAGATAAAGATACTAATCAATAGTTTGATTTGTATTACTTTATGATTATTGGTTATTCGATTTCTTAACCAACCATTATATGTATTAATTGGGAGAATTTAATCACAAATTTCTTCAGTTCATTATTCGTTTACGATGGGAATCGCAAAGAAACTGCCTGTTCGAGTAAAATATTCGTCGACTAATCTTTCTATCGTGATGAATTATAACAAGTCCACTGTCAATAATAACAAGCGTACAATATTATTCCTTCATATACTTTTGATATGTTTCACAGTCCTAAATGACATATTCGACTGTTGAAATTGTTTGAATAGGTATACTGATTCTGATGTGCTCACATCAATACCCATATCAGATTAGATATTTCTGAAAAATTATCTAACACTTATTAGTGTAGTATTGTATATCCCTCAAACTCATAGTCAAAAAGTTCAGTTGAAATATTCATCAAATATTATTTTGAATTCCTTAAATGTTTTAACCTGGTTATTGTCATTGATATGTGAATTATCGTACCACTATTTTTTAAAAAAGTGGTTACTTTCCCTCTTATCAACCAGTCAGTCAGTCAGCTGCAACGTAGGACCAGGCACGTATTTGCATCGTTCCAAGTTGCCATACCGCATTAGCACAACAAGATGAACACCGGATTCTTAGAAGTGGTTAATTCAGTGGCGGTAATATGTAGAAGAAAGATTGCATATAAGGAGATAGGACAGGAATCAAGAATTAGTTCGTAGAAAGAAAGATATGAAGTGATTTTAATCTCTTAGTATAAAGGAAGACAGAGAGTGTATACACCGACGCCATTGTGATCGATTCTGAGCCATGTCACCAAGAGTCTCCAACCATTGGTTACGATAGTCACGCGGACCCCAACCAGGCAGCCTGCATCTACCAACATGGCTCAGACTAGAAGTTAGTGACTTCAAGCACTGATGCCACGTTTTGGTTTGGCCACCCCTAACTTTCTTCCAATTATCCCTAACACCGGTTAGCATTGCGCGTCGTGGTAATCGGTGTTCAGGCATACGCAACACGTGGCCCAACCATCTCAGTCGATGAAGATTCACAACCTCATCGACTGATTTACCGTCATTCCCTAATACCCTGCGTCTAACCTCACTATTACTTAGCCGGTGATCCCAGTAGATACAAGTCATATTTCTAAGGCACATGTGGTCAAATACTAGTAACTTACGAATATCTTCTACTCTTAAAGGCCAAGTTTCGCAGCCGTATAGTCGAACGGAACGAACTGCCGCGCAGTATACTCGTCCCTTAATTGATAGACGGATATCTCGCCTTCGCCATAGGTGACGTAGGTTGGCAAAGGCCAAACGAGCTTTTCGAATCCGTGCTGAGATTTCGTCAGACACCAACCCATTAGGGCTGATCAGACTTCCAAGATAAGTGAAGTTGTCAACGTGTTCGATTACTTCACTCCCTATCCTTAGTTCAGGTGTTGACGCAGACCAGTCCTGAAACAACAACTTGCATTTAGAGGGAGAGAAGCGCATCCCAAACATTCTGGCATTGTTGCTCAGTGCTACGAAAAGACGCTGCATTTCATCAGCGTCTTCACCAAACAGGACTATGTCATCTGCGTATTCTAATTCAATAAGTGGACCTCCTGGTAGGAGATCAATACTCGAGAATTCAGTCGATGAGAGCGTTATTTCCATCAGTAGATCTATGATGAAGTGAAACAAAAATGGAGAAAGTGGACAGCCTTGGCGGACGCAACTTGAGGTTGCGAAAGCAGATGACAGTTCGCCATAAGCTCTGACTCGACTAGTAGTGTTCGAGTAAAGAGCTTTCACAAAGTTTATGTACTTCTGAGGTACGCCTTTCAATTGCAGACACTGCCACAGAACCTCTCGGTCTAGAGTCAAACGCTGCTTTTAAGTCAAGGAAGACCACTATTGTTGGACGCCGATAAGTATGCCTGTGTTCTAGAACCTGACGAATGGTGAATATGTGGTCGATGCAGCCACGACCAGGTCTGAAGCCAGCCTGATTTTCACGTGTTTGCAGTTCACGAGTCTTATTTAGGCGTCCGAAAATTATCGAAGCTAGTATTTTAGATATCATATTAGTTAAACTAATCCCTCGGTGGTTGTCACAGGATGATTTTGATCCTTTCTTAAATATTGGGACGATAAGTGATTGTGACCAGTTAGATGGGATAACGTCTAACTCCCAGATTTTAGCTAAAATATTAGTCAACCTAATCGCTAAAACTAGACCACCATCCTTAAAGACCTCTGGGGCCAATCCATCTGGACCAGCTGCCCTTCCTCGTTTCAGATTAGCTTTAGCCTTTTGAACTTCAGCTAGAGTTGGGGTACCTACTTCAATGTTCCATTCATACTGTCTGGGAATAGAGGATAGTTGTAGAGTAGCTGAAGGCCAACTGAACTGCTCCGAAAAATGTTCCGCCCATGGTTCTAAACGTCTAGACTGGGACCAGATAAGAGTGTCGTTTTTTTCCGAAATAGTCTGACTTACACTTGACTTATTAGTTCCAGTTTGTTTTATTAGTCTGAAGAGATGTCTTGTGTTCCCTATAGCCGCCGCCTTTTCCATCTCTTTTGCTTTTGTTGCCCACCACTGCTCACGATCGTTCCTTAAACTTTTGCTTAACCTAGATCTGATTTCTTTACGCTCTTCATCGTGTTCAGAACCTGATGGGATGAGTTTGCGAGAATCTATCAGTGCAATAGACCTTGAAGAAATCCATTGGTTCTTTGTAACCCTTTGGTTTAAATCACTAATAGATGTCACTGCTTGTATAACTTTCCAAGCAACATCTGGGTCAGCCTTGTTTTCAGAACTACCTAAGTGTGACCTCAGTTGTTCCTGGAACCTACTTTTGGCTTTCTCATTACTCAATTCGGTTCTAATGAGTCTTTTTTGTGTGGCTTTTTGCGTCCAGTGAGGCGTAAGCAGATGCGTGCTCGTATTAGGGCATGGTCGGAGTCCAAGCAGGTACTCCAGAATGAGCGACAATCTTCTATTGACCCTCTCCAACGATGACTGATGGCAATATGGTCTATTTGAGTCTATCGTTGGTTTGGTACAGGGAGTCGCCATGTTAGACGATGTCTCTCCTTATGCTTAAAATTTGTGTTTGCTAAAAATAAACGATTGTCTGAGCAAAGTTGTAGCAGACGATCACCATTATCTGTTCGCTGTGCCGGAATACTAAAATACCCACCTAAATGTCTTTCTGTTTTGTTTAAGCTACCTACCTGGGCATTAAAGTCACCTGCTACGAGTACTATGTCTGAACGTTTAGCTTTCGGAAGAAGTTCAGACAGCTTTCTGTAAAATTCATCTTTCACTTGATCCGGGCTGCAGTCTGTGGAAGCGTAGGCAGAAACGACGAAAAGGCAACGACGTGTGTCCCTATCCTTTCGAGTTCTTACGGAGCCGTTTAGCCGAACAGCGCATAGACGACTGTTAACGGGGATCCACTCTAATAGCGCTTGTTTCGCCCTCATACTTAGTGCTATGCCTACACCTGCCAGTCCACGAGAACTAGCCATCGGGTCGCCAGATACACGAAGGGTGTATCTCGCCGGCTCTCCGTTTCGCCGAGGTGAGGTCAAGTGAATGACCACGCTAGGATCCTGTATGCGTGTTTCGGAGACACAGCATACATCAATGGTACGAGATTCTAGGGTTTTAGCCAAGGAAGCCTGCTGATCGATTTGGCATAGTGTGCGTACGTTGAAGGCTCCAATGTGTAGTTTGGAGCGAGGTTTCAGTAGACCTGGGACAGTGTTTTGAGCACTAGAATCGTTGGCTGTGGTGACACTTGAGGAGGAAGCCGAAAGAGGGAGTTTAGATTTGAAAGTCGATGTAAGAGGAATAATAGGAATTGAAGAGGTAGGTTGATTATGAATACAGTGGTCTTGAGTGCTGTTAGAGGTATGAGGGCGGTTATCACTTCCCGGTTGCCCACACCGTGGAAGGGCCTCTTATCAATAGTTTTAAGTGTATTGGTTAATAGATAAAAAGCGTATACAAATGTCTCCTTCGTTTGTTGTTATTTTCTCCCTTTATCACTGTGTACTATTCCAGTGTAATTTAAAGTAATACATTATTTGATCAGTTCATGGCAGTAATTCATTTAAGTTTTTACTATTTTCGTTTAGGGAGTAGTTATTCCTACTCGCCGTTCGACAGCATCTGCTCTTCAAATGGTTATGAGTCATGCATTAGGAGATGCCATCAGTCCGGCTATTGTTGGTCGGGTAAGTGATATTCTCTTGTTTCGTAATACCACAAACACTAGATCTAACTATATATATATATATATATATATATATATATATATATATATATATATATATATATATATATATATATATATATATATTAACGTAAAAGATTAAGATATTTTTCTTTTCTTTTATTCCCACTGGGATGTAGGTATATCTAACCGACAGAACGTGCATCGTAGTTTTCACTGTTAGCCACTATCCAACTTTACTTAATAATGATTATATGGCACTATTGAGTTAATCTGCTAAAGATTCATTTATTCTAATAGACTGATCCACTGCAGTCGTCTATGAACTACCAACAAACCCTTACAAATAAAAATTACCAATTCTTTTGCTCCATAAGAAATAAGTTAGTGAGGTACCCTATGAAAAATGTCTATTTATCAGACAGTATTTCAATCTACTACGAAAGATTAGTCAGTAAGATTTAGAAGTAAGGCATTTCAGTTGTGAATCGTCACTGTGTACCAAACCGCTAGAATAACATTATCTACTGCTACTTGCTTTTTTTTGAATATAAACATTGTGAATTTGGCACATAAGAGTATACAAAGTATTGGTTCGAAAATATTACGTGTTTACCTATTACACCCTTCGATGTTTGACAGGACAATTGACCGTGTCAGGCAACGAGATCAATTATTGGTTATAGAATAAAAAATTATAGTAGTCATTTCATAAAGTCAATATCTACTCACTAGTTAATGAACATACCTTGTTTAAACTAAGTTGTTTCATATACTTTATTATTTTTCTTAAAGAAAACTGAAGAGGTCTCAAGTAAATAGAAATCATAATGCCATAAAATTCTTATTTGTTTACTGGTGGTTTAGTAGTTTTTTCATGGAAATATCTGGTTGGAATAGTTTATTTCTCTCCTATATTATTGTGATTATTTACTAATCTTAAGTAATAAATAAAGATTGAATGAGACTTATGTTTTTCCTCATTTTTATTTTTCATTTCAGATTGCAGTAGCTTTTACAGATCTGCATTCATTAGAAACACAATATTTAGGCTTACAAAGAGCATTATTTCTTACTGCGTTTGTTTGTGCTCTAGGTGGTTTCTTATTTCTTATAGTTACTTTATATTTGGTTAAAGCTAAGAATGATGTTCATAGAGCTATTCAAGGTACATTTTATTATTATTGTTATTATTATTATTATTATTATTATTATTATTATTATTATTATTATTATTATTATTATTACTGTACAATGTTGTTTCATGCTATGTATGTATGGTATGCTATGTATATGTACTGTTTTATCATAATCATTATTTCCAATCTCTTTAGAAATAAATAATCCTCTTTCCATTGACAACACAAATAAACGCAACTCAGTAGTCATAATGTTGATTCATTTGTGCTGAGATTTCTATATTGTAACGAAAATATAATATTGTACAAAGCTAGTAATGATAAATAAATAATAAGTAATTTACTGAGTAACTTACAGTATACGCTTATGTAAACGAATGCTGATTGACATTTCCATTAAGATCAAGTTAGGATATTGGACTAATTACATTTTCTGCTCCGATAGCAATACGGTCCGTTTACTTTTTTGTTGTACTTTTCACTTTCATAAACCCTGAATTGTAACATTAAAATATGTGATAGATAGTCACCATTATTTTTTATTGTTCACATATATAAAATGAAATATGTGCAAAAATACTGTTACAAAACTAAGTAAATTATTCGTAATTAGTATAAGGAGATTTGTGGAGTTTGTAGAATTTCCATCATGAACCAATCTTAGTTGGACCTCTACTGCAAACCTGGAAGTACCTGACTGCCGCTTCATCCCACTGTGGCATTCCCTGGTATTGTGCATCCACAAACCCAAATCCGAAAATTGGACCTAGGACCTTCAGTCTCGCGCGCGAAGGCTTAAACTCTAGACCACTGGGTTCACTATTGACTAGCTTCAATATTCAACTCTGGGAGTCCTATTAAAAAACCGTGATCAATGATGTTCAATGCGTGTCGGGTAAGAGACAGTTATCCGCCACAAGCACTGGATGAGGATTGCGCAATATCGTGTATTAATTAAAGTCAGACATTAACACCGTCGGATACTGGCTCGGTGATCCCAGATGCGGCATCGTGGGTGCATACTGCTGAAAAACCCCATACTAGTATGAAGCAGCCTTTTAGTACTTACAAGTTTGCAGCGGTAGTTTAACTAAGATTGGTTCACGATTTAAATTATGGGAATTCTAGAACCTTCACAAATCCCATCTATACTAATGAATTATTTATAGTTGTTATTAAAGGAGGTTGTGTATGTTTTTAAATCCAAGGTTTTACGTCACAGACTGACTTTAGTTTGACAACAATTGAAAAACAGGAGTCACTGGATTTCTGTTTTTCAGTATGGAGCCCTTATCAGTGTGCATTCACAACCTCACCATAGACCGAACTTATAACCTTAAGCCTTATGTAGAGCATTTAACCTTCTGACCACCAATTAGCATCCAATGTTTTATGTTTCTTAATGCAATCAAATGTATAACTGTCACCCGTCGCTAATCGCGATATCAGCTAACTGACTATTCGTTTCGTTCGATAAAATACTTAGCAATGAGCGATGCGTTAACATGGAGTTTACAATTCATATTAGATAAAAATACCATAAGACAATTCTTGGGTTAATACTGAAAGAATAACAATCTAATTTTTCTATTATTTTCTTTTCCACATCATTTCTCAACAGAAACCTAGATAGAAAAATAAGTAGTGTATTATTAGACCCTACGGTATTTTTTATCTTATCAACATAATATAAGTTGTAAGCACATAAAATCTCCAGAAAATAAAACAGATAACTCAACTGATTGAGATAACATATAATTGGAAACAAGTGTTTGTTAGTTCAAATTACCAGAGTTTGTTTATGTTAGGCATAGTAAGAAGGAAAAGTTGATTAAAAATAATAATATCAATAAAAATAGTAAGTTGAAAGGAATAAGTGGCAAAATGGAATAAGAGTTACAGAAGTATTAATTTGTCCACGATTCTAAAGAAAATAAAATGATAGATATATTTGAAACAGTCATACTGATTTTCAAGTATGGTTTTCTATTAGGAATAACAGTTTAATGGAATTCAACTAACAATGCTTATATCTTTTTACATAGTATGTGATCTGATGTATAATACCTCTCGAAACTGATACTATATTGAAATTTATTCAGATTAACCACCAATCAAAAAACATACATTAAAATACACCGAATTAGAAAAATCACTAACAACTTTAAGGTTAAAAAGATAGTCAACATTAATGCCTAGACAACCACAATAATTATTGCCAACTGTCTATCACATTCACTGTCAACAGAATAAACTCTTCATCAATTGTAGGTACATTCTATTACTTCAGTTCTGTTTAAATTGAGCGCTAATGATGTCTAAAAAGACAATGAAAGCTTCACGATTAAATCAACAAGCTTACCAAACTCAACTTCATTTGAATCATGCTCCTAGTTCGATTAACCACTTGTTTTTAACAATAATAGTCTGAAGGTAATTTCGATTAAATTCCTGATTAATCAACGGCTGTATATCAATTTTATTTAAGTATTTATGACTTAAACATCACAAGGTATTAGATAATTGAATTACTCATGACTGAAATAGAATAGTATCTGAGAATTTTTTAACTAGTTCTCGTGCACTTTCAAATATAGGTATGATATTAACAATCTAAAGGGAGGAAGATGAACCTTTTGTCCTGGTTCCCAGCGTATATTGACGTGTGTGCTATTTTAATGAATGGTTCTATAAGGAATCAGAGGAAAAGTGAAGCAATAGTTTCTCATCATTCAACTAATGACTTGAGATTGAAAGACATAAAAATAAGTTTAATCAACAAATATCAAAGATACTTTAATAAGTCAATTGTAAAGATATAATAATAATACCGAGTAACTTTAAAATGGGAGTAGGGAAGTTGAACTGAATAGAGAAGAGTCTTAGCAAAATCCAACCTTTTCAGATGAATTGATGGTTGTCACTAAATTCGAATATCAACATATACTGTTTGGTTTTGTCTCCGTTGACATCAACCTAACACTGGATATAATCAAACGGAGATTTAGACGAAATATTTGGCGATTTTTTCCCAACTTGCTAGTGCGAGTGAGAGATATATTACTACTTATAAAAGGAAGAGTATACTTTTCAGCATTTCTGTATATGTAACTTTTCGACTCTAACATACTCATCAAGTCTCAAAGATACTACTTTATATTTGATGATAAATTTCTTTGTGATAGTTTTCGAGGATAATAGAACCACTGAGTACTCAATGTTTTGATTAGACTCCTAATTTTAGGTAGGGTGGATAACTCCGTTCTGATAAAGTCTTAATCATGTTGGGGTTTTCTCATTCTGCTTATCATTTACTCCCCAAACTCAGCTTCTAAATTTCTCATAATTTTTTTATCTCACTAATTTATATTTTCTCTAATCGTATCTCCGATGCCCAATCTTTTCTATTACCATTGATACTGCTACTATCACCACTCTTGTGGGATTTGACCTGATAATTTTATCCCTTTGTGCTAGTGGGGCTTGGCGACTTGAACCGATGTACACACGTTGCGACTGACTGACTATGATTTATTTATTGTTCTCTTCGTTTAGACAATCATCATTAAGATCTGTCATTTACCTATTCATGTTTTATATCATAATTTTATTTAGTGTTTCATTTTATACCCTCCTCCCCAGATATCATACACCTTTATAAATAACAAATAATGTGATCCGATTTTTACCTATTTATCCTATAATTTACTTATATTGTAGCTTCTCAACACGACATGGTTGCTGTAATAAGTGGACAAGAAATTGAGGTTCCTGCGACCCCATCATCTATTCATAGTGAAGTGTTCACCTGATCAAATATATTCGTCATATATATATACATTGAAAGGTCAGCATTTGTTTTGCTTGTAGTTACATCTGTTTACTCTGAATATATTATCTATGCTTGTCCATCTATCTATCTATGTTATCATGGAAGTAGATTTTGTGTCTTGTTGAACTCATATTTTTATTGTTAAGTTTGTGAATTACTTGTTCTCTTTTTCTAAGTATCATTATTATTTTTTATTCTCTTTACTATCAATACAGAAATTGTACTGTTCTTTGTATATTCAATTTAATCATACTTAAATGATTAAATCATCATTGTATTTGTAATTGGCTAATTTCAACAGTTTTTGAACATAAGATATCAGTCAACCATTTTTGTGTAAAATATTCGATTTTAGAAGGGGTTTATTCTCTGTATGTTTTCATTTCACTTACATTTCATAAATAATTTTAATATGTGAACTATTGGGTTTATCAAATCACAATAATTATTTTATAGAATGATTTCGTTAGTTCTTTTTTTTGCAAACACATATATAAGCGAACATTATTGTTTTCAATTAGATCCTCATCAGGTTTTACTTTCATATACAGTAATATTTATATGCATATACGAAATTTTTAAATCGCTCAAGTTAGTTTATCAGTTGGTCATAACACTGGAATAGATTGCATAACTGATTATAAGTAAAAAGTATAGATTGATGGTGTGATGACCAGTGTACTAGTTGTGATAATAATAACAAGGTCTTGAATCAAAGTTTTATAAAAGGAAGTAAGTTAATGATTTGTCTCCGCTGAATTCAAGTCTAGGCAAGCTTTTGTCGTCTTCCATCAATGATGCATGTACCACATGATGTTAATTTTAAATTCACAGCTAAACCCATGACTTTTAGTAACACTTTCAACGTTATTTGAGGTTGTATCCCATGAATGGAATCCCCAGTTCTTATCTTTCAGAAAAATTTTACCAAAATGATTCATTCAATATCTGTCCCAATAATAATTGATAATCTGAACAACAGACCTATCACATCCGAGAAAACATTGGCGCTACATTCTTGAAAAGGTTGTATCAGCCGTGCGCACACTGGTATTATATACTGGATCTGTAACACACTGTCAATCAATAGTAAATGATGAATAAATCCCGACCATAACGATATCTTTTCAGAGCAACTTTTGCTGAACTTTGAACATAGGTATCGGTAATCTAGGTAACAAAGATTCGTCACGTTCAAAGCTCAGAAACAGAATATAAAATTTGTAAGATTCGAATGAGTTAAGCAACCAGATTAACGCTGATACTTCAATTCTAACAAGTGTTCTGGATTTCAAAGAAGCCTAAGAGTTATGTTGTAAAGATTCTAGTTAGAATTTGATCGGTTGTCCTATATCCATGCCTTAAATCAAATGTTCATTTGTTTTTAGTTTAACTCATTGTGAGGCATAAGGTTCAACGTTTTATCTAGAGTATATACGAATTTCACTAAATATAGTACAGACCATCTGGAGGTAAATGGATTCACTTATCTATCTAGAATAAGCCAGTTTAAAAGTTCTTATTAAAAGGACATAAAGACGCTTTGCCTATAACTGGGAGTTGAACTTTCACATATTGAAATGGAACAATTACCACCACGAAAACGTTTGTTAATTTGGATGTCATTTAAGTTTAAATTGAATAATTACGCTTCTGAGTTAACGATAGTTTTATTCAAGTTTTTCGAACCAGTAGCTAAAATCCTTAAACTGGGGATTTTTGTAAGAATTTAGATTTAGAACTTCACGCAATCTATTACTGAAGGTTGTTCACATTTAACGACATCAGTAAATTCTATATTCTTAGCTCTTCAAGAATACTAATAATTTCTTAATAAGTATTTATCTATGACGTCAATTTTTTTCACCACAATTTAGACCATATTTTTTTATTGATCGCTAATTTGTGCTTGTATTGCTAATTAATAGAAATCTCTCCTGTTGTCACCAGAGATGAATGATTAGCTATGTGAAAGAAAATGTGTTAAATTATACAAAAATTGTCACGAAGTCGATTTTAAAAGGACCTTGAATAACAATTTGCTTTAAGTATTTATTATTAAATAAACCTTTTCAATTTCCAATCGAATCTATGAGTCAATAGAATATTTCTTTTCATAAATAAGCTTGTTTCGGATTTTGAGAAAATGGCATATACTTGTAACGGAAACGTCGAGTAAATTTGAGATAATGAAGTTATTGGTGATTTATAAAATAGTACAATCTTTTTACTGTAACTATATTGTTATGAAAATAATTTCACTAAACTTCATCGTAGGTTTTTGTTGATTTTGTAAGAGAATTATTGATCTAAGTATCTCTTTATTTCTGTTCTACAACAAAAGCCTATAACTGCAATAGTTTGATAGTTGACTCCAGATTTTGTAATGGATCATAAATATAAGGAACCTTATTACGTCACCTGCGTAACCTCGTAAATTACAACTGTCTTCTTACTTAGTAGTGTGAATGTTATAATGGATGCTTAAAGTATTTTATCGCTCTCACATATATTACAATAATACGTTAATAAGACTAATCACTGTTATGTCATATGCCCTGTCAAATATCACATGATAAGATCGCCAATCAGAACATTGCCAAACCAATGACGTATTAACCATCACGAGCAGCCTAGAGTAAACTCTGAGTCCTTATTGATCCCTCTGACCTTGGCCTGCCTATTGAGTTCAGAACACAAGTTCAGCTTCCACTGTATGAACCATATATTTCAGGCATGCTTGATTTATATACGAGCAAACCAGACCTCATCTCACCATAAAATATAGATAATAATTATACATGATCAAACCAAAAGTGGCTGAGTGTAAGAGACAGTAACTATCAAATCGGGAATAAGCTAACAATGGTATATATATATATATATATATATATATATATATATATATATATATATATATAACAATCCATAAATAATTTCTAGCGGTTACCATTCATTTATTATTCGTTGGAATATAACAGTAATGTTATATCAAAACTAGGATTCACAATGCAAAATAGAGAACCAGATTAACACTAAACAATACTTTATTCAATACAGTTACAAGCAGTCACCTTTAGTGAGTCAGGACCAGAAATTAATGACAAGAAGAAAAATTACATATTTAATATTCCGTAGGCCGTGGCAATTTGTCCACGTTCAACGACTCATATTTTACTTTCACTAGCAAATATCAATAAACAGTTGAGCTGGATACTAGTCAACAGTTAAGAAGAAGAATATGAGTGAATGGGCAGAATAAAGTTTAGTAATTAGTTGATCGTTTATTATAAAGACAAATATTTATTAACCTTATATTTTATATTACGAGCTAATCTTAATTGGACAGTTATTGAAAACTAGAAAGTATTGGTCGGACGTTTTGTCCTATAAATGGAATTTCTCGATAATGGACATATAAACTGTTAGATGCCAGTCTAGTGGTATAAAGTTTAAGAGCTTCCCACGATGCATGGTGAATTCATGGAAGCCTACTGTCAAGTAGATCCATTTATGCAGTGTATTCTGCTTCTTGATGTTCGACTAGCTAAAATAAGCTCATCATATAAATTATTAAGTTCACAATTTCGTCAAACCTTTAGAGCAACAATTCCTTAATCTGTTAATGATGATTTGAAACATCGTAATAGTATTCGCTGGTTTGTTGAATCCGATGCCTTCAAAAAGGCACTAAGGATTGGAATGAAAAATCATGCATAGGAGGCAGACAACAGACGCATTTCAAGTAAAGACTAATGTGAGATAAGACTGCCTAATCTCGTCTTTTCCCTTTCTTCTGATTTTTAAGTAGACTATGAAGACTTCCACATCACAACAAAATTCACGGAATACGGTGGACATCTTGGACACAGCTGGACGATTTCAACTTCAGAAATGATTTAATTCTTCTTTCCCGTACACAGAAAATAAATGTCGACGAAAACAACCATTTTGTCAAAAATATCTTTATCTTTATCGATCTAACTAACCTTAAGAAGATCAATACTACTAAAAACTACTTTATTGAACAATAAACAATAAGTATTATATCAATTAGTCAGTTACAATTAACATTTCTAACTAAAATAAATTATTTTCATTGTTTCTTTGCTATTTTAGTTATATATTACTTGATTAAAGCCTTAAATTATAATGTCTGAAAATGATATTTAATAATAAACAAAAAATACAAACAAAAAAGTGATAATAATAACTCGTGGATGTTTGTTCTGCATTGAATGATTGAATATTTGTTTACTTTCAAAAGTGTAACATAAGAATATTTGTTTTGTTTGTGTTTTTTTAAAAAAACTAAATGAATTTCTATTCAGGTTACATCCATATCTGAATGATAATAGTGATGGTAAATTTTAATGGAAATAATAATAAAGTCTAAAGTTTAGTTTACTGATATAAAGTTATTGCACCATCATTTCATTGATATATATAAACAGTAGTTATAATGAGAATGGTGGTAAATAAGTTTTTATCTATTTAATGGTTCAATATTTTGAATAATTTAAATCAACAAACGATCTTAGCTAGATAACCAGTGAAAAACAAGGGAATACTGGACAAGTGTTTCGTTCTTACTACAGGGGATCGAACCCAAGACATTTAATTTTGCATTATCATTGTTGAGGGGTCTCATACTAGGATGAAACACTTGTCCATTTCTCCCTTGTTTATGACAGCGGACTAGCTAGGATCAATTCGTGATCTACACTATAAACATTTAATATAATTAACAAATAAAAATCATTCATGTCACACAGTTTGTACTTTAATTGACGATGATAAACAAATATGTGAATAAAACTTGGATTTATGACGTGTGGTTTACAAAGTGTACAATGTTTCATTTCGTCAATATAGCAATTCATAAATAACACAGGGACTGTGATTAAAAATAATACTTTGTCCAATAAAAACTATGGTCAAGTGAATTCGATCGATTCAAGACTAGCGAACTAATGGGTCCTAATGTGGTGAACAGAACACTAGTGGGGACAATCGAATGTTCTGATTGATCCTGCTTTCCTCCTACCCCAGTCAGTTAAGTCCAGAACGCTAATCTCAGCTTCTGCAATATGAATCATATTTCAAACATACTGAGTTTATATACCAATCAAACAGACAACAACGTAGCATAAAATAGAGAATAACATTTGGCCAAATATGGCTGTGAATGTGGGAAGCAGTGACTAATAGACAGGGCATAATTTTATAATGGTAAAACGTATAATAATGGTTTATAGATCAAAATAAAGCTTATAATAAGAGGAACATGAATATGAATAGTTTAGTTATTTAACAACGATACGATAAAAATATACGTTTAGTATTGGTCCAAAAATGGATCCCAAAATTACCATTCATTATTCTTGTCGGGACATAACACACCTCCCTTTTATTGAAGATCCTCCCTGCGAAATAATGTTGGGTCCTCATATACCCAAG